CAGTTTGTCTTCCCTTTTCTCCCTTGTCCATCAAAGTGATCTCACTCTGCTTCAGTAATGTTGAGGTCTGGGCTCTGGAAAGGCCAGTCCATGGCATCATGAAGCCTGCAGTGGCTGGTCCCCTGACCCTAGATCAGACTCAATTTGACAAAAGAGTGAAAACAAAAGAAAACACGTCTATCTGATCATGTCTGACTATTTGTGTTGGGACCTTATGGTGACAGGGATTTGCTACAGCATCACTTTTAGATACTCCTCATCTTCTGTAGTTTCCTTCTTTTGTCCTCCATTTGTGCAGTTTCCACATTTCTTTTCAAGGGTACACTGGACACTATGTTAAGATATGGAAAATTCAGGTTTAAGATTTAGGTTCAGTTAATGAAATTGGAATAATTTAAGTTTTTGTGATAGTGTGGCAGGCTGCCAGTAACAAAGTGCCCACAGATACACTTTAAAAAAGTGGTCCTTTGCTAAGTCTGGTTTATCCTTCTGCTTTTTAACCAATTCAAATTAAATGTCTTAACCTTGTTTTTCAATTAGCAAAAACTGTCATGCGATGTGAAATGGGACAAAGAAGTTTATGAGAGTGAAAAAATGATTTTTTTAGGACACTCAGACTAAACATTGCAGGCATAACCCTATGGAAAAGAAATAGTAAAACATATATGATTTACTCATGAAAGTGGCCACTTTCTCATTACTTTCATATTTTTTTTTTAGTAAGTATCCAAAACATACAAGTTTCATTATATAATTTTTCAAGGGATCTTATATGTGTTTTCACTCCTGTATGCTTTTCATACAAGTTTCATACAAGACAGATACAAACTTTATAAGATTTATATATATCTTTTCCATATGGGAATGTTCGCTTAACCAGCTGTTATTTTTAAGCAGGGTTGTTGTAGTATTTGCAACACCATAAACATAGATGTTTATGCACATTTATGTGTATTAGAGCCCCGACTTCACTTCAGAAGATAAAGATTGAGGTGAGGAGGAAGAGGATGACAATTTGTTGGTCAGTATATCAGTATACTGTCAGTCGTCTCTTTTTTGTCCCATGTTTTCTTGTCTTTGGTTAAGGGAGCCCGTTCTCAGATGATACAACATCGGTATGATTCATATCTTTAGTCTGAAGGTTTTCCTCTATGGTCTGAACACCTACAGGTTTCTTCTTCTCTGACTTTGGCATAGTACCTGTATGGCCGGTCTCTAGGTACATTCATAAAATGTGATTGAGGTAATGATACTGCCCATCTTAGCCAATGTATTCAACACAGCAGGTTAACATAGCAGCATCCACAAACTAGTGCCTGCTCCTGAAAACTGTCTTCAGATTTACCAGATAAATGAAGTGTCCCTCTATTCCCTGTGTATCATGATGATCTGGTTTTTAGTTTACATGACAATTCTGAAATTGGCTCAGTGGAGAAATCTGACCGTAACTTAATAACATCTGCTAATGTGAAGTCACTGTTTCTGGTTTACCTCTCAGACTGACTTTCAGAAGTTCACAAGATGAACATTTGTGCTGAGGAAGAAAAGAGTGGAGCAGAGTCCGAAGAAAAGACTGGAGCAAAGTTTGAAGAAAAGACTGGAGCAGAGTCTGAAGAAAAGACTGGAGCAGAGTCTGAAGAAAAGACTGGAGCAGAGTCTGCAGGATCCAGCTGTCCTTCTATGAGAAGTGACAGCTCCAAAGTTGATGTTTTAAACTTCAGGGATGAACCTGGACCCTCAGACACAACGTAAGACTCAGTTTCTACTAAGATTTTCTCATCCTCCCTCAGTGTGCAACCACGAGTCAATTTAAATTTGACCTTTATGTGAACAGTACACCCTATTAGTCCAGTTCTTACTGAGGTCATTTTTTATTTTCAAATTAAAACGGTTTCAGCACGAGATTAAAATATATTTTATGTTAAATGTAAATGTTTATGTCAGCAACATCACTACATAAACAAGTGTGAGTAAAATAAATGATCCTCACATACAAAATACTGAGTGAAAGACAAAGGAAGCATTAAGACGACTAATGCTGCTAGTATACAACGAAGCAACTCCCCACAACTTTGTTTCCAAAAAACAAATAAAATATTCACAGTCAGCTTAAACAAATAAAATTAAGCTGTTAGTTGAAGTATATTTCATACACAAGACATTAAGTGTTTTATTATAAAACATCTCTCCTTTGGCTGAATCCTGTCTCAGTATAAAAGGAAGAAAGAAACAAAGTTAGAGATGGGGTGTACTGTACTACCATACAGGAAGAATGAAAGAGAGTAGACTCTTTAACAGGGACATAGTAAGAAAAAAGTATCTAAGACTTGATAAAAATGTTCAGATAATTTTATGTTTGGAAGTTCAGTTTGACTTTGGATACATTTTGCTCAGTTATAGTTAAAAAATGTATGAAAACGTATGGTCAGATAGCTTTAGAAATAGATAAATCTAACATGCTTATTAAAGTTTCTTTGATGAGGCCACATGTGTGAAACAGCAGATGTGACAAACACACTCCATTGCTTAAATATCCTGTTAAGTAAAGCAGTTTCACCCCAGTTCTTTTTTATTCCTCGGGCATCCAGAGACGGCACCGGACTCAGTAGTTATTTCACAAAACCTTTATTCATCTTTAGTTACGCATGCATCTTCTAGTAGAGAAGACGTGCAAGGCCGGTGTCCCTCTGCAGATCTTCTCTTCTTACAACCAGTTTTATAGAAGCGACCCCATCATACAACCTACATGGTGTGTTGCAAACTCTGTGTTTGTGTGTACATGCGAGCATGTGAGTGCCTGTGTGTGTGCGTACCTGTGTGTTTATGTGAGTGCACGTGAGTAAGTGTGCGTGTGGGTATGTAAGTGTAACAGTTAAAACACTGTGTGTGTGTGTGTGTCTCACTCTTACTTTTACAGCTAAGCATGTGGAGAGTCTCCTGCAAACCTACTTCTAAGTTATAACAATTATGAGCTTTTATTAAAGGTACAAGCATCAGCAACCCCCAACTGTAGCTTCCTGTCTCCTTTTATGACAGGCAGACCCCCAGTGTCCATAAATTCCTTTCCCTCTACACAATTACACACACTCTCAGGTCTACAACTAAGCCAAACTAAAACACACAGACAAATCCTTCCCTATTCCTCTGATCTGCTGGACCCTCTCATCTAAGCAAATTTAACACATTCTATTCTCACAATCACTACACCTGGCTGAGGTTGTAGTTGTTGAAAACTGGACACAGATCAGTGTTAAGTAAGACAGGCTGACAGGGAAAGCACTTTATTACTGTTGATGAAATCAAAAGCAAACATCACATTGATGATTCAAGCTCTAGTTTTCTTCATCTTAAAAAGTATTTCCCATTTCTCGTTCCTCTTTTGGCCATCAGACCGTCTGCACAGTGTTGTCAAATTTTGATCCATTTTTTAAACCGATAAACAACAATTGACTTTAATGATTAAAAAATGTGTTCACAGAGAGAGGAAGGCGATCTCAGAGGATCCAGTCTCTACCAGCTGTGGACCAGAAAAATCCAGGACTGAAGCACAACTGCAGATATCCAGTAAGAGCAGCTGTCTACAAAGTAGGATTAAGCATCCGCTTATTCATGGACTCATTTCTGAGAAAAACTGTTACTGTCAGAGTTATGTAATACATCCTCGGTACTTAATGTGGCATAGGGGAGGGGCCGAGGGAAGTGAACTGAGTTCTCCAGGTGGAACTGTCGATCTTTAATAAGTGGTATTGTGTAATAAAGACACACAGGCTTTTATTGGCAAGTTGATTGAAAATAATTTAAAACAAACTGGAGCTGCAGAAAAAGAGTTAAACCAGTATTCTATTACCAAATATTATCATAATAATATATCATAATAAAAAGGTAATATTGGCTGATTTTTTTAACATGTTTAGATAGTATTACTATATTATAAGGCGTGAATTAATCCTACATTATCTTCCCAATATTCTACTTTGCTTAAAAGCAATAATTTAAATATTATGTTTAATGCTCTGGATTATTAAATGGAAACATTGGTGATAGTTTCTGTGTAAAAAGTGGGAAACAGAGCTACAAATTGAAAATCTACATGTTTCTGTTTAGTAACATATTAATAACAGTGTTAGTAAAATTTTAAAACATAATAATAATAATAATAATAAACTTTATTTATAAAGCACACTTAAAAACCAAGGGTATGCCAAGGTGCTTAACAAGTAAGATAGAGAATAGGAGGAGGATAATAGAAATAGGACCAAAGCAAGTGCTAAGTATGCAAGCAGGTAGCTGTCACTGATACATAGGAAAGCAACAGGTACAGAGCAAACAAGAAGTTAAATGAGCATAAAAGTGCATAATATAAAATCATAAAATAAATATTAACTAGAGGGGAAAGGCAAGATTGAATAAGTGGGTTTTTAGTCATGATTTGAACAGTGCAATGGAATCAGATGCGTGGAGGTCGGGAGGAAGGGTATTCCACAGTACCAGGGCAGCCAGCCAGAGCACGGTCACCCCGGGACTTCAGCCGAGATCTGGGTTGGGTGAGAAGTAGTTGAGTGGCAGATCTGAGTGTTCTAGCAGGAGGATGTGAAGTGCTTAATTTTTTGAATTAGCCACATTATATGAGGATTATCTGAAAGTATAACTAACCATAACCACCAGTTCTCTCTTCATATGTATAATAATAAATCCATAAAACTTAGTTTTTCTCAACAGAGAGGTTCTATTCTGCTTTCTCTGTCAGCTGTCATATGACTTGATTAAAGTGCTTAGATAAGGACTTCATTTCCCATAAACCTTTGCATTTTTGTATCAGTGACATTTCAGTCCACACTGCATAATAGCTGTTGTTGGAAATGCACAATTTCATTGTTTGGCAACTGTCAACAAAGTAACAAGAATAAGACCCTTTGCAGGCCAAACATAACAGTTAATAGAAAAGATGATCTCATCAAGGTTCACAGTGAGCTCAGACATGTGAAATAATAAAATGGAGACAAAAGAACATTGTGTATCAGAAACAAACACCCTAAATAATGATAGACACAATTCAATTCAATTCAATTTTATTTATATAGTGCCAAATCACAACAAATGTCGCCTCAAGGCGCTTCATAGATACAGAGAAAAGCCCAACAATCATATGACCCCCTATGAGCAGCACTTTGGCAACAGTGGGAAGGAAAAACTCCCTTTTAACAGGAAGAAACCTCCGGCAGAACCAGGCTCAGGGAGGGGCGGACACAAGAGCCACAGACTTTGACCAACAGCCGACAGTAGCTGCTTTTGGGAACAGGTCACTGCACAGCTGACATGAAGCTGCAGAGTAATAAGTAGTAATCATAATAATCAGCAGTAATTATCATCATTAGCTATAGCACACTGACTATTTCAAAATGTGTCTTATAATGTAAAAACTTTGCTAATTACTACTGATGAAAATCAGACTGTTTCTGCTCCTTCACAATAAAGGTTTTCACACATGGAAGCTTTTACTGTGAAACAGAAATGCTGTGTTTTTGTAAGCTGACCAGCAGACTTTGTTATTTCTTATTTAATTGTTCTCCATGTAAACACACGAACACATCTCGAGGGTCTGAGAGAAAAAAAAAACTTATCTAATGTGTTCTCAAAAATATCAAAAAAAAAAAATTAAAAAATCTCAAATCTTAAAAAATCTTATTGCAAACTATTTAAATAATGTTATGGTTAGATGTAATCAAAGCATGACTGTTTTCTTATTGTGTTATATTTGCTCTTTTTTAACAGCAGATGTTGGTCTGCAGGAGATTTTAAATGAACATAAAATACATCTAAAGAGACAATATGAACGTGTGACTGAAGGATTTGGTGAATCAAGAAGTGGAACCCTCCTCAACACGATCTACACTGAGCTTTACATCACAGACAAACAGAGTGAAGAGGTTCATACTCAACATGAAGTGAGACAGCTGGAGACAACTTCACAAACAGATACCGTCCATGCCCCAACAATCAAGTGTCACAAACTCTTTGAAGTTTTAACTCGCCTGATGAGACCAATCAGAGTGGTTCTGATGAACGGAATCGCTGGCATCGGAAAAACCTTCTCAGTGCAGAAATTTATTGTGGACTGGTCAGAGGGCTTGGAAAACCAAGACATCAACATAGTGATTCTGCTTTCATTCAGGGAGTTGAATCTCATTAAAGATGAGCAGTACAGTCTTCTGGAGCTGCTCCATGTTTTCTATCCAACATTGCAGAAAGTCACCACAGAGAAACTGACTCTTTTCAAACTTTTGTTCATCTTTGATGGCCTGGATGAAAGTCGACTTTCACTGAAGTTCAGTAAAAGGAAGATTGTTTCTGACATTACTCAGACATCATCAGTCAATAAGTTAGTAACAAACCTCATAGAAGGGAAGCTACTTCCCTCAGCTCTCATCTGGATAACTACCCGACCTGCAGCAGCCAATCAGATACCTCCTAAATGTGTTGACAGGGTAACAGAAGTGCGAGGCTTCACTGACGCTCAGAAGGAGGAGTACTTCAGGATGAGATTTAGTGAGAAAGAGCTGTCCAGAGTTATCTCCCACATTAAGAAATCCAAAAACCTCAATGTCATGTGTAAAATCCCAGTCTTCTGCTGGATCACTGCCACAATCCTTGAGTACATATTGAGTACAGACCAAAGAAGAGAGCTACCAAAGACCCTGACTGACATGTACTCGTACTTCCTACTGGTTCAGACAAAGAGGAATAAGCACAAGTACCAAAAAGAACATGAAACAAGTGCACAGGAGCTGACAGATGCTGACAAAGAAGTTCTTCTGAAGCTGGGGAAGCTGGCATTTGAAAATCTGAAAAAAAGAAACATCATATTCTACCAAGAAGACCTGGAAAAGTGTGGTCTGGATCTCACAGAGGCATCAGTTAATTCAGGGGTTTTTACAGAAATCTTTAAAAGAGAGTGTGTGATTTTCCAAAAACCAGTCTACTCCTTTGTTCATCTGAGCATTCAGGAGTTTCTGGCTGCTGCTTACACATTTCACTGTTACACCAACAGGAAAACAGAGGTACTAAAGGAAGTCCTGGGGAAAGAATATAATAAGACATCTCTGGACATTTTTCTGAGCAAAGTCATGGAAAAGTCCCTCCAATGTAAAAATGGCACTCTGGACCTGTTTGTTCGCTTCCTGCATGGCCTCACACTAGAGTCCAACCAAAGACTCTTAGTAGGTCTGCTGAGTCAGACAGAGAACAACCCAGAAGTTATCCAGAAAATCATCAACAACCTAAAAGAGATCAGACGTTCTCAAATCTCTCCTGACAGAAGCATCAAAATCTTTCATTGTCTGATTGAGATGAATGACAGCTCAGTGCTTCAGGAGATCCAAGAATTCCTGAAATCAGAGACAAAACTCTCTGAGATCCACTGCTCAGCTCTGGCCTACATGCTGCAGATGTCAGAGGAGGTTCTGGATGAGTTGGACCTGCAGAAGTTCAACACATCAGATAAAGGACGACACAGACTGATTCCAGCTGTGAGCAACTGCAGAAAGGCTCTGTGAGTCCTGTTGTGATCATTAACACAATTAATCAGATTAAATCAGTAGTTCAGTTCTTCAAATATACACTAAAGTATTTTCATTATTTTTAGGGAGTTTTCACATCTATAGTTGATTTACTCTGCCCTAAATTAGTTGTGAATTTGTTCTGATTTCTCTTCACACAGAGACACAACTCTTTATGGTGTAGTTCACCCAGAGTAATTTCATTCTTCGATATTTTTCAGTGATTAGCTTCAGCACCTTTTGGTAACAGTCAGCAGATTTTTTCATGTAGGTAGATGTACAGGTGAACAGGTGAATCTTTCCATTAAACTGACTTTATTCAAAATCTTCTGGAGCCAAATTAAAAATAGGAAACAGTCCAAATGTTTCTCTTCACTCTTTAGTTTATAATCTAAAACCTTGTTATAGAAAAGGTGAATGAGGCAGGTTCTATAAAACACTTTGAGTAGAAAGGTTTTTACTCAAGTAGAGTAGCAAGGTCCTATATAAGAATGAATCCATTTACCATCGACAAGGATCAGATTTCACTGACAGAATGTGGATGTTGTCATGGTTTAAATGCAACACAATTTTCTGTGTTTACAATGCAAAATTCCTGCTTTTATAATAACATATTTGATGTTTTCTCTTGTCACAGACTAAAAGCTTATCATCTCTCAAAGACTCACTGTGAAGTTGTGGCCTCAGCTCTGAAATCCGACCCCTCCCATCTGGTGGAGTTGGACATGACTGGAAACAAGCTGCACAAGTCAGGACTAAATATTTTGTCTGCTGGACTGTCGAGTCCAGACTGTCAACTAGAGACTCTGAGGTGAGTTTGCTGACTGAAGCTGTTGTTGTTTAATCAAAGTTTTACACTCTTGGTTAATAAAGGTTCACGATTTGTATGAACAAAAATATAAAGAAGTGTTATTGATTTCAGAAATGTTTGCTTTTCCAAATGGCTGAATGATAATTTTTACTTTTGGCTCCAAACAGACATGATAGACTTGAGCAAAGTTCAGTTAAAGGCTGACAGAAGTCAGGTTATGGTAGAGAGATATTTTTACAGTTGTTCAGCCTCCACAAGTCCAAAGGCTCAGTCAGTCAGAGAAGATGAGGTGATTGGTGATGAGTCTTTAGGGTCTGTGTGGGGTGTCAGTCACACTGATAAATAGCAGATAAAAACAGGCCTCAGAGATTTTGACAACCCACACAGCTGCTTTGGTGATGTATGTGTTAAAGAAAACAGCAGCCTGACACAGGCCAAAACATAACAGCAAAGCAGGATTCTGAATGTATGTGAGGATTTTTTAAAAACAGCAGGAGAAGAGAGAGGCTTCTTAAAAAAGACTAAGAAGAGGGAAGCTGAGAGTTTTTTTTAAAGTTTCTGTTCCTCTAAAAATGATCCTGTTTTAACTCATTTTGAGTATTACAGCACCAAAGACATCTTAGATTGTTATAAAGAAACATAACAACACAAGAAGTCATACAAAAACAGAAGATCTGCATTGACAGCTGACTGAAAGCTGCCTTTACCAGCCCAATATAACCTCACTAACCAGGCAGACAGACTACCATGGTTTGTGAAGTAGTGCCTGCTTAGAGTCTAAAGTCTAAGAGTATAGTTCTAAATCATTTGTTCTGTAGATAGAGAATATTTTCAGCACTAAATCTTTAAAGAAAAGCTACTGACCATTTTGAGTGTAAAGAACATTTTATAAAGAGTTGTCAGTCACATTCTTCAGCAGACCATTTCAGGCTCTCATGAACTCAGACGTTGAGCTCAGGTAATGTCACTTCAGTTCACTTCAGGTTTAGAGGTTCAGTCTAGTGTAAAGATTAGGACTGAAACCGTAATAGTGTTCATGTAGAAAATACTAATGAAAAAAAGATCAACTGTCCACTGTTTCTATTTTAAGAATAAAAGAAACACATTCAGATAACTCTGTCATGTTGGTAGCAGACAGAGATAAAGTCATGTGGTCAGATCCAGCTGTTTCAATGTTTATTTAGTGTCCGCCATTCTTTAACAGTTTTGTACTTTGAAGACTGATGTATTAATGATTTTAAAATCCATGATAAAAACTTCTGTGCGTTAATCTTGAAGAGAACCTCACTGATGACTGACATCTGCATTTTTTTTTTATGTTTTATTTAGGTTGGAGAGCTGTCAGTTGCTAGATATCAGCTATCTGGTTTCAGCTCTGAATTCCAACCTCTCTCATCTGAAACATCTAAACCTGAGCTACAACAACTTGGAGAATTCAGGAGTGAAGAAACTATGTGGTTTTCTGAAGAATCCCCACTGTCTATTGGAGACTCTGAGGTTAGACACCAAATTTTAACTGTGCTTAGATCCCAATCCCGGATAGTATAGTATTTGTAATCTAAGTATAGTATAGTGTCGATTAACAAACATCTTGGGAACATAGTTTGTACCAGGAATTTTGGCACATTTACAAACTGACACTGCTGAACAGTGACAGTAAACTAGATGAAGCTAAGATGACGAGTTATTTGTGTCACAAAGCACAAAGAGCCACTGCAGCGCTAAAGTTCTACTTTACACCTTCACTGGGGTTTGTAGTGCTTTCATTTCAGTGTTGGAGTTTGTGATCAGTGCCTAATTTAATACATTGCTACATATTTAGTTATTTTAATGAAGGTATTTGCCACACACAGTTACAGTGATCTAAGAATGTTTTCACCAGTAAGGAATGACTGACCAGCAGCTTCAGAGGTAGACCTGCATGACATCTAGAAAAGACAAAGCAAGAAAAACCCTGGAGAGCTAGTGCCAACCGCACACCAGGACTATCCTAGCTCAGTGCTGACCTTCTTCAGCTCCTGACATATTACGACACTGGATGCTTTCAAGCACAGACTCTGAGTAATAAACACTTTTTAAAAAAAAATTCCTTATGCAGATTGCAGCGCTGCAGTTTGTCAGAGATCAGCTGTTATTACCTGCTTCCAGCCCTTCAGTGCAACCCCTCCCATTTGAAACATCTGGACCTGAGCACGAACAACCTTCAGGATTCAGGAGTGAAGCAGCTGTGTGTTTATCTGAAGTCTTCAGATTGCAGCCTGGAGACTCTCAGGTCAGACACCATGTTTTAGTTGTACTTAGATATATATGATGTGAAAGCTGGCATTAACCTACACATAAATCCTGACATTAACCTAATTAGCACTTTAACTGTGGCAGAACAATGGTTCACATTTCAAACCTTAAAACTGTGTTACTCATCTTAAGACCCACAGCCCACATCTGGGCTCCACACTGATTAACATTATTGCTATCAACTCTTGGTATACAACACATTGATGAATAATTTACAGTTAACTCGTTTTCATGGTACAAAGGTCATGACACACAGGAATATGTGGAACAGAAACAGTTTGTGGCAGGAATTATTTACATTTACAAATTGTACTGCTGAATGGCATGCTGGGTAATGCTAGACAGGTCTGTCAATAGTGGCCAAAGGGTCCGTTGCTACAAAAGGTTTTTCAATCAGACTTGTTTTTCTCTCATTTCTGGTCATTCTGCTTGTGTGTTGAACCTTTTCCCAGAAAGACAAAGTTTAGGTGGGGTTCAGGGAGATTTGAGTTTAAAAAAGTATTATTAATCGATTTAAATAAAAAGGGATAATATACAATATTACTATAAATGTTGCAATTTGATGCATTATATCAGAGTTTATTGGCAGGTTACATCACAAAAATAACATAAAAAAATTGCCAGTTTTTAAAATGTGTCTGGTAAAAAGTGTTCTCAAATATATAAAATTCATTCAAACTAAATCTTTAAAACTGAAGCAGTGTAAATACTTTTTTTTCACAATTTTTATCTAAAAATTAGGATTTTTGTCAGAATTTTGTACCCCCACTCTCCAAGACCCTATTTTTTCTTTTTTCTTCAGTGAACAAACAGCATGTCGTCAGTCAGATTATTGAGACCTCTTGTTTTCACTTGTACCTTTTGTCTGAATCTCCATCCTGTTGGCTCAAACTGTTTGGATTTTACATTTTTTAAACGTGAACATTTCAAATCTTCTGAACAAATTATCAAACCTTAAATGATTTTACCACAGACTTTGCCTCATAAACTTACATCTTCTATCTTCATTCAGTTTATGGGGCTGCAAGTTGTCAGAGACCAGCTGTGATTATCTGTTCAAAGCTCTTCAGTCCAACACCCATCTGAGAGAGCTGGACCTGACCTTGAACAACCTGCAGGAATCACATGTGAAGCAGCTGTCTGAGCTTGTGGACAGCCCACATCACACACTGGAGGTTCTCAAGTGAGTAGAGGCTTGGACTCAGTCCAGGCTGCTTTACCAGTATAGCACAGTTAGTGTGAAATCAGTGATCCAGTGTTTCTTGTACACCTGCAGTCTTCTTTACTCAGTGAGGCTGTAAGAAGAGAACAGTGGCAGGCTTCAATATTCGACAGAAAGACAACAGACATCCAATCAAATGACACAGAAGTTTGTGATCATGTGTTTGAGCTGATGTGAATATAACTAATGTTCACATCTACAGAGAATAAAGCTGGATTTGTAAGGGTGTCAGCTGGAAACAAGCTTTATTTCCTGTAGACATGAACACAGAAACATCAAATCACACAGGTGTATTAAATATTTTACAGAATATTTTATTTATTTTTAGAGGAAGAAATTGTCAAGAAACAAAACATTCTACAAAGAAAACAACCAACTCGCCTATCATGGAAATCCAAAATGATGCAGGAAAATTAGTCAAGCACACACGCACAGAGATATGTTGGAAGCAGGAAGCAGGCAAGACCTGTCAGTCTTGACAGGTCACAGTTTATAGCCAGACCCAATTAATCTCTAACCAGTGGTCAGCCTTCACCTGTAAATTACATTAAACTGCTTACTAAATGAACACCACTGCTCCAGGTGTGGAGGAGTAAATGCAGTACACAAAATAATGACCTGGGTCATAACCTCCAGGAATCAAGTTTGCATATGTCTTACTGTCAGTGCTTTCATTGACATTTGTTCAGTAGTAGCCTCCATGTATATTAGTAAGCTGATATTTTAGCAACAGGTAAGAAGTTCAACAATACACAGCAACCTTTGGTTTTTGTGAAACAAGAGAAAATCCATTAGTAAAGTGTTTGTGCAGCAAGAAAGAATTCAGGCCTCTCAGCGGTTAAGCTCCACTGTAGACTTGTCTGAACAAGACTGAAGTCAGTGCTGCCCTTAATAGTATTAATAACACCCAAAAGTTTGATTCTGTTCATCTGCATGTAGCGTTTTTAGTGGGAGAAACATTTCATCACTCGTTCATGTGACTTCTTCAGTCTCAGCTGACTGCAGGTTTCCCCAACCTTATAAACAGGACATTTGCACAATCACTGAAACTAGCACCACTGAATGAACAATGGGCTGCGAGGTCAGTTCCTTAATCATTAATGCAAATTTTCTCTCACTGAAAACACCACGTTCAGATGAACAGAATCAACCTTTTGGGATGTACGCACCTGTACGGTGTACATTTTAGGACATCGTCAGGTCTCAGGAAAAAAGTTGTCAGGTATCAGACTCACACGAAAAAATGTCAGGTATCAGACTCACATGAAAAAATGTCAGGTCTCAGACTCACATGAAAAAATGTCAGGTCTCAGTCTCACATGAAAAAATGTCAGGTCTCAGACTCACATGAAAAAATGTCAGGTCTCAGACTCACATGAAAAAATGTCAGGTCTCAGACTCAC